TAAAACACCAAAAGCAATGGCAACAAAAGTCAAAATTGACAAATGAGATCTAATTAAAATAAAGAGCTTCTGCACACCAAAAGAAACTACCACCAGAGTGAACATGCAACCTACAGAATGCGAGAAAATTTTTGCAATCTACTCATCTGACAAAGGGCTAATATCCAGAATCTACAAAGAACTCAAACAAATTTACAAGAAAAAAACAACCGCATCAAAAAGTGGGCAAAGGATATGAACAGACACTTCTCAAAAGAAGACATTTATGCAGCGAACAGACACATGAAAAAACGCTCATCATCACTGGACATCAGAGAAATGCAAATCAAAACCACCATGAGATACCATCTCACACCAGTTAGAATGGCAATCATTAAAAAGTCAGGAAACAACAGCTGTTGGAAAGGATGTGGAGAAATAGGAACACGTTTACACTGTTGGTGGGACTGTAAACTAGTTCAACCATTGTGGAAGACAGTGTGGCAATTCCTCAAGGATCTAGAACTAGAAATACCATTTGACCCAACCATCCTATTACTGGGTATAAACCCAAAGGATTATAAATCATGCTATTATCAAGACACATGGACACATATGTTTATTGCAGCACTATTCACAATAGCAAAGATTTGGAACCAACCCAAATGTCCATCAATAATAGACTGGATTAAGAAAATATGGCACATATACACCATGGAATACTATGCAGCCATAAAAAGGATGAGTTCATGTCCTTTGTAGGGATATGGATGAAGCTGGAAACCATCATTCTCAGCAAACTATCACAAGAACAGAAAACCAAACACCGCATGTTCTCACTCATAGGTGGGAACTGAATAATGAGAACACTTGGACACAGGAAGGGGAACATCACACAGTGGGGCCTGTTGTGGAGTGGGGGAAGGAGGGAGGGATAGCATTAGGAGATATACCTAATGTAAACGACGAGTTAAGGGGTGCAGCACACCAACATGGCACATGTATACATATGCAACAAACCTGCACGTTGTGCACATGTACCCTAGAACTTAAAAGTATAATAATAATAAAAATAAAAAATAAAGCTAAAGGAAAAAATCAACCGCAAAAAAAAGATCTGCACAGAGTCTTGGCCTTCTGAAAGCCTCCAGAAACAAAGCCAACTGACTGTACTCAACTTACATAACAGTTAAAGAAACACTAGCACTTGCACATGAGAAAGAATCAGTGCAAGAGCTCTGGCAACTCAAAATGCCACTGTGTGCCCTTACCTACAAATGAACACACTAGTACACCAGAAATGGTTCTTAACCAGATTGAGATAACTGAAATGACAGCAACAGAATTCAGAATATGGGTGGCAAGGAAGTTCATCAAGATCAAGGAGAAAGTTGAAATCCAATCCAAGGAATAAAAGGAAAGCAGTTAAACAACCTGGGAGCTGAAAAATGAAATAATAATTTTAAGAAAAAACCAGAATAAACTTCTAGAACTGAAGAATTTACTTCAAAACTTTTATAACATAATCAGAAGCATAAACAGCAGAATCGACCAAGCTGAGGGAAAAATCTCAGAGCTTGAAGATTGGTTCTTTGAAGCAACTCAATCCAACAAAAACAAAGAAAAAATAATTTTAAAAAATGAACAAAACCTCTGAGAAATATAAGATTGTGTAATGAGACCAAATCTATGACTCATGAATATTTCTGAAAGAAAAAGAGAGAGAGCAACTTGGAAAACACATCTGAGAATATAGTGCATGAAAATTTCCCTAATCTAGCTAGAGAGAAGGGCATACAAATTCAAGAAATACAGAGAACTGCTGCAAAATATTATACAAGCCAACCACTCCCAAGGAATATAATTATTAAATTCACCACGGTGAATACAAAAGAAAAAATATTGAAGGCAGCTAGAGGAAAAGGTCAGGTCAACCAAAAAGGGAACCTCATCAGGCAAGCAGCAGACCTCTCAACAGAAACCTTACAAACTAGGAGAGATTGGGGGCATGTTTAAGCATTCTTAGAAAAAAGAAATTCCAACCAAGAATCTCACATCCCACTAAGCTAAGTTTCTTGAGCAAAGGAGACATAAAATCCTTCTCAAACAAGCAAGCACTAAGGGAATTTGTTACCACCAGATCAGCCATACAAAAGGCCCTAAAAGGAATGGTAAACATGGACACAAAAGATTGAAACCTGCTACCACAAAAAAAAAAAAAAAAAAACCCACACTCAAACGCATCACTCACAGGCAATATGAAGCAATTTTACAAGCAAGTCTACAAAACAAACAGCCAACAATATGACAACAGAATCAAAATCTTGTATATTAACACTAACTCTGAATGTAAATTATCTAAACATCCATCTTAAAAGGCATAGAGTGGCAAGCTGTATAAAAAGACAAGAGCCAACTGTCTGCTGTCTTCAAGAGACACATCTCACATGTAATGACACCCACGGGCTAGAAATAAAGGAATGGAGAAAGATCTAACATGCAAATAAACAACAACAAAAAAGCAAGAGTCACGATTCTAATATCAGATAAACAGAGTTTAAGCCAACAACAACCAAGAAAAACAAAGAGGGGCATTACATAATGATAAAGGGTTTATTTCAACAAGAAAACTTTACTATCCTAATATATATGCACCTGACACTGGAGCACCCAGATTTATAATAACAAGTTTTTGACCTACAAAAAGATTCAGACAGCCACAAAATAACATAGGGGACTTCATCACCCAACTGACAGTGCCAAACAGATCATTGAGGCAGAAAACTAACAAAGATATTCTGAACTTAAACTTGACACTTGCCCAATTGGGCCTAATAGGCATCTACAGAATATTCCATCCAACAACCATAGAAAATATATTATTTTCATCTACACATGGAACATATTCTAAGATTGACCATATGCTTGGTCATAAGGCAAGTTGCAATAAATTCAAAAAAAATTAAGACATACTAAGCACACTCTTGGACCACAGTGCAAAAAAAAATACCAATAATATCTCTCAAAACTATATAAGAACATGGAAAACAAACAATTTGCTTCTAAATAACTATTGGGTGAACAACAAAATTAGGGCAGAAATTAAAAAGTTCCTTGAAATCAATGAAAATAGAGATACAACTCACCAAAATCTTTGGAATGCAGCTAAAACAGTGTTAAGAGGAAAGTTTATAGTGCTAAATGCCTTCATGAAGAGGTTGGAAAGAGCTCAAATTAATGATATAACATTGTACCTTAAAGATATAGGGAAAAAAAAAGAATGATCCAACCCCAAAGATAGCAGAAGAAAAGAAATAACTAAAATCAGAGAACTGAATGAAATAGAGACCAAAAAGTCCATACAAAAGATTAATGAAACCAATAATTGTTTCTTCAAAGGAATAAACAAGACTGATAGATCACTAGCTAGATTAACAAAGAAAAGAAAAAGGATCCAAATAAGCTCAATCAGAAATAACAAAGATGACATTACAAATGATCCCACAGACATACAAAACATCCTCAGAGACTACCATGAACACCTCTATGTACACAAATTAGAAAATCTAGAAGAAATAGATACATTTCTGGAAACACACAACCTCCAAAGATTTAACCAGGAAGAAAGTAAAAACCTGAAGAGACAAATAACATGTTCCAAAACTGAATCAGCAATTTTAAAAACCTACCCACCTTCTTGTACCAAGGTCCCATACCCTGTGGGGGTGTAAAATGCAGGAACTCCAGCCCCGCCCGCACGGATCCTCTCCGCAAGTGTGCCCTGTGGTGTCAGCTCCACTTCTAATTCACCAGATAAGTACTGTCGTTCAGATTCTGCATTTTCTCCCACATATGAAGAGATCATGCGTTTTATCTGCTTGGACCGAAGCAAAAGCCCCAAACCAAAATTGTCAACCCCTGCGTTGTTGCTGACTGCAGTCAGTCCTTTTACTCCAGTTTTCAGTAAAGCACCTATAAGATTCTCTGGAATTCCACATAGCCCAAAACCACCAACCAAAACCGTTGCACCATCAGGAATGTCTTTTACAGCTTCTACTGGATCTGTATAAAACTTGGTATGGCGATGAGCACTGGTGGAAAAGGAACAAACATATCCCTTGTACCAGGCTCCCCTAGATCCGCGGGCAGAGGGGCAGAGCCGAAGGCCAGAGGAGAGGAGTTTGAGAGCCGCCATCTTCGGGCCTGAGGCAGGAGGAGGCTACCGGGTGGAGCGCGCGTTTGAGCGTCGGTGCGCGCTGTCCCGGGCGCAGCCGATTCACTGCGAAGAAAAGAGGGGCGGGCTGGAGCCTCCACAGCGCGGCTATGACGTCCTCCCGGCCTTTCGAGGAGCATCGCCCATCAAATACAACAAAGATGGCAGTGTTGCCATTACCAGTAAGCCAAGAGAGGCGAGGGAGTTCAATGGTCAGTACTTTATTTTGGAGGAAGCAATTACGGGGGATTTTGCTTTGGTGAAAACCTGGAAGGCGGACCGAGCAGGAAACGCGATTTTCAGGAAAAGTGCAAGGAATTTCAACTTGCCAATGTGCAAAGCTGCAGAAACCACAGTGGTAGAGGTTGAAGAAATTGTGGATATTGGAGCATTTGCTCCAGAAGACATCCATATTCGTCAGATTTATGTACATCGCCTTATAAAGGGAGAAAAATATGAGAAAAGAATTGAGCCTTTATCAATCCGGAAAGAGGGAGATGAGGAAGCCAAATCTGCTAAACCTGGAGATGACGTAAGGGAACGAATCATCAAGAGGGCCGCTCTTGAGTTTGAGGATGGCATGTGTGTTAATTTGGGCATGGGAATCCCTCTCCTGGCCAGCAACTTTATCAGCCCAAATATGACTGTTCATCTTCAAAGTGAAAATGGAGTCCTGGGTTTGGGTCCACACCCACGACAACATGAAGCTGATGCAGATCTCATCAATACAGGCAAGGAAACAGTTACTATTCTTCCAGGAGCCTCCTTTTTCTCCAGCGATGAATCATTTGCAATGATTAGAGGGGGACATGTCGATCTGACAATGCTAAGAGCGATGCAGGTTTCCAAATATGGCTAACTGGATGATACCTGGGAAGATGGTGAAAGGAATGAGAGGTGCTATGGATGTAGTGTCCAGTGCCAAAACCAAAGTGGTGGTCACCATGGAGCATTCTGCAAAGGGAAATGCACATAAAATCATGGAGAACTGTACATTACCATTGACTGGAAAGCAATGTGTCAACCGCATTATTACTGAAAAGGCTGTGTTTGATGTGGACAAGAAAAAAGGGCTGACTCTGATTGAGCTCTGGGAAGGTCTGACAGTGGATGACACACAGAAGAGTACCGGGTGTGATTTTGCAGTTTCACCAAAACTCATGCCAATGCAGCAGATCGCAAATTGAAACATGAATATTTGTACCAGGCTGCGTGTTTTTCATTTTAAACACATAGGATTTAATTGAAAGGCCACCAGTAATCATAATTGTGTATTTAACAGGTGGTTTTTGATTAGTTTTCTTCTAGGGTTTCAGACTTTATGCATCCATATAAACTGTTCTCTAGGCATGCTGTGACATTTTAATAAAAAACAAAAGGAGCATTTATAATTATCTCATTTGTTAAGTACCGAGAAGGTTGTCTTTATAATAGGTAATTATATTGAATGCATTTTCACTGAATATGGTATGTATGCTAAATTATATGAACCTTTCCCAAAGAAGGGCCCTATAAATTGATGTGGCTTTCCTCTTAACTATTAATTATTAATCCTGAAAGAAAGATAACATATTTGATTTTCTGGTTAGGAGAGTTGCTTTCATGTTTTTTTTTTTTTCCAACCTCCTCTGACTTTTCTTTTGGGGCTTCAGATTTTATGATTACATCTTGTCCCCCTAGAGCATCCCCCTTCTTCCCATACTGCTTTTAAACAGATGCCCAAGAAGGCAAGCAGGAATGTCTCTTGTGGGGGAGAGCAGGGAGAAATAATTAGTTCAAACCAACTATCTATCTGTGCTTTTCAAAGACTAAGGCATATTATAGGAATAGGAACAGAAGAAACTGATTCTTCTGTTTTCTCATTTTAAAACAGCCCAGTATTCCTTTGTATTCTCAAGGGTCCTTGAGAATATTTCTGTTATTGAGACCCTGTGGGCTACTTGTGCTGTACCTCCTCTCAAGCCAAGAAGGGCTGCAGGATAATTTACCATGAATCCTTAGTAGCAATGACAGCAGAGTTAAAACATAAAAGGTGCTTTACTTTCAGGCTCTCGTTTTGGTTCAGAAAAGATTTTAAATATTGAATGACACTTCTACAGAACAACGATTTTTCTTCTGCCAAGGCTACTTCCTTTAACAAAGTGTCTTTAATTCAGCCTTGTCCAACTAGGGAAAATAATGATGGACAAGTCTAGGATTTGAAGTCAGTGAACTTTTAGTGTCAGGGAATAAACATGGTGGGTAGATCAGATTTGAAAGAAACTTCCTTAGAGGTATTCTCAATACTAGACAGGGGCCCATGGGAATGACTTCAGAAGCATCCCTGATAATAGATGGGTAAGAAGTCTAGGCACCCTGAAGAACAGGTGAGATAGCTGGCCTCTGGACAGAGGTAGGCATAGTACAGTACAATATATCATTCCTCTGGTCCTAAATATAGGAACTTATTCATGTTTTTAGGTGATGGTGGTCATTGAAACTCACTTCTCTTCAGGTGTAGCTACAATTGTGTAATATACAATATTAGAGAAAGGACAGGCTTTTAATAAGTAACACACACCATATATAAAATAGCCTTTCTGGCTGGCCACATGGTTAAATGCATACCTTCCCAGTAGTGGGGGAAAAAAAAAATGACCTTTCTTGGAATGTGCAAGTTTCATGAGAGTAATATATTGATATGACTTTGAAAAGAATTGTTGATAGTTACATCTTCAAACTTGCTTATCATTCCAGTATGCGTCTTTAAGATATTGTGATTCTAAGTAGATGACTTTATATTCTTGATTAAAGAGTGCTATACTTGCTAAGAAATGCATTAAGGAATATAATAAATATTCCAAAGTGAAAAAAAAAAAAAAAAAAACCTACCAACCTAAAAGAGCCCAAGAATAGATTAATTCTGACATGATCTGGCTCTGTGTGCCCACCCAAATCTCATCTTGAATTGTAATCTGAATTGTAATCCCCAGGTGTTGGGGGACGGACCTCATAGGAGGTGATTAGATTATTGTGACGGTCCCCCTATGCTGTTCTCATGATAGAGAGAGAGTTCTCATGAGATCTGATGATTGTATAAGGGGCTTTCCCCCCTTCACCCATTCTTCTCTCTCGTCACCATGTGAAGAAGGGTCTGTTGCTCTCCCTTCTGCCGTGATTGTAACCTTCCTGAGGCCTCCCCAGCCATGTGGAACTGCAATTAAACCCTTTTGCTGTATTAATTACCCAATCTCAGGTATTTCTTTATAGAAGCATGAGAACAGACTAATACAGATTCACAACCAAATTCTACCAGTCGTACAAAGAATTGATATGAATCCTACTGAAACTATTTCAAAACATTTAGGAAAGAGGGCTTCTCCCTAACTCATTCTATGAAGTCAGCATCATCCTGATATCAAAATCTGTCAGAGACACAACAAAAAAAAGAAAACTTTAGGCCAATATCCATGATGAAGATAAACACAAAAATCCTCAGCAAAATACTAGCATACCAAATCCAGTAGCACATCAAAAAGTTAATTCACCATGATCAAGTAGGCTTTATTCCTGGGATGCAAGGTTAATTCAACACACAGAAATCAATAAATGTGATTCACCACACAAGCAGAATCAAAAACAAAAATCATATGATTATCTCAGAGATGCAGAAAAATATTTCAATAAAATCCAACATTTCATCATGACAAAAATCCTCAACAGACTAGGCAGCAAAGGAACACACTTCAAAATAAGAAGCGCCATCTATGACAAATCCACAACCAACATTATACTGAACAGGCAAAAGCTGGTACCATTTCCCGGGAGAACTGGAACAAGACAAGGATGCCTACTCCCACCACTCCTATTCAACATAGTAGAGGGAGGCCTAGCCAGAGCAATCAGTCAGAGAAAGAAATAAAGTCATCCAAATAGGAAAATAAAAAGTCAAACTATCTCTCTTTGCTGATGATATATTTCTATACATAGAAAACCCTAAAGATTCTCTCAAAAGGCTCCTGGAACTGTAAACATATTCAGTAAAGTTTCAGGATACGAAATTATTGTATAAAAATCAGTAGCATTTCTATACATCAGTGACATTCTAGCTGAGAACAAAGTCAAGAACACAATCCCATATACAATAGCCACAAAAAATGAAGCATCTAGGAATGTATGTAACCAAGGATGTGAAAGATCTCTACAAGGAGAATGACAAAACACTGCTGAAATAAATCAGAGATGACACAAATCTATGGAAAAATATCCTATGCTCACTGATTTGAAAAATCACTATTGTTAAAATGGTCATACTGCCCAAAGCAATTTACAGATTCATTCCTATCCCTATCAAAATACCAGTGTCATTTTTCACAGAATTGGAAAAATCTACTCTGAAATTCATATGGAACCAAAAAAGAATCCAAACAGTCAAAGCAATCCTAAACAAAAAGAACAAGCCAAAAGCATCATATGATCAGATTTTAAACTATACTCTAAGGCTAAGAAGCCAAGACAGCATGGTACTGGTACAAAAACAGACATATAGAAAAATAGAACAGAATAAAGAGCATGGAAATAAAGTCACATACCTATAACCATTAGATCTTTGAGAAAACTGACCAAAATAAGCAATGGAGAAAGGACTACCTATTCAATGAATGATATTGGGATGACTAGCTAGCCATATGCAGAATAATGAAACTGGAACTCCTACCTCTCAACATGTACAAAAATTAACTCAAGATCGATTAAAGACTTAAATATAAAACCTTAAACTATAAAAATCCTAGAAGATAACCTAGGAATTTCCCTTCTCAACATGGGCTTTGGCAAAGAATTTAAGGCTATGTCTCTAGGAGCAATTACAACAAAAACAAAAAGGACCTAATTAAACTAAAGAACTTCTGCACGGCAAAAGAAATTATCAACAAAGTAAACAGCCTACAGAATGGGAGAAAATATTCACAAACTATACGTCTGACAAAAGTCTAATATCCAGCATCTACAAGGAATTTAAATCAACAAGCACAAAACAAACTAACTAATTAAAAAGTAGGCAAATGAAATGAACAGACACTTCTCAAAAGAAGATGTACAAGTGGCCAAGAAACATTTGACGTCATTAATCATCAGAGAAATGCAAACCAAACAACAAC